GTGTGTGTATGCATGCGCACACAATCAGTTACAAATTTCCTTCATACATACCTTCTTCCCTGTTTCTAATGGAAAGCACTGCATTCCCCCCCCCTTCATGTCTTTAGTACACTGTATACAAATCTTCTACCCCAAGTTTTGGTTTTACATTATAAATTCTACCCTGGAGAAAGATTAGTAACTAATATAAATTTGTTCACCTTACTCCCTATTTAAAACCTGCTATAGCTTGAGTATGGTTTGTCTCCACAACTCCTGTTGAGGCTTGCTCTACAAGAGAGCATTATTGGGAAGGGAGACACAGTGGGAGATGGTCATTGGTATACTCGTGAATTCAGTAATGCCTTTTTTTAGCTGAGTGAACTCTTGCTCTCACCAGACTGAATTAGTTACTGTGAGAGTAGGTTGTTATAGAGCAATACTGCCTCTCAAGTTTTGCCTCTGCTGTGGTTTGGTTCTTAAATGTCCCCCCAATGATCTATGAGTTAAAGGCTTATTCCTGGGGCTAGGTTTGTGGCTCAGTGGTAGAGCATTCATCTAGCACGTGCAAGACCCTGGGTTTGATTCTCAGCACTGCATAAAAATAAATAAATAAAATAAAGGCATTGTGTCTGACTATAACTAAAAAATAATATTAGAAAAAAGGCTTATTCCGCAGCCCATAACATTATTAGGAGGTATTTAATCTTTAGCAGGTGGGGTCTAGTGGAAGGAAGTTAGGTTCTTGGGGATGTGCCCTTGAAAGGGACATTGTAACTCTGCCCCTGTAACTTTATACCCACCATGAGGTAAGCATCTTCCTCATGGCACTCTCCCCACCAGGATGTACTGCCTCATCACAGGTCCAAAGGCAAAAGAACCAAGGGACCATGGACTGAAACCTCTGAAACCATGAGTCAAAATTAACCTTTCTTTCCCCTAAGTTTATTCTATCAGGTATTTTATTTTCACAGTGACTGAATGTTGAATAGAAAAGACTCTTTCACATACACCCATTTGCCCTTCCACTTTCCACCATGAGTTGAAATATCATGATATTCTTACTAGAAGCTGAAAAGATGTCAGTACCATACTCTTGAACTTCTTAGACTCCAGAATCAGAAGTCAAACTAAGCCTCTTTTATTTTGACAAATTATCTGGTTTTGGTGATTCCGCTATAGCAACAGAAAATATACTAAAAAAAACCTTTTCAATATCTCCCCACTGATTCTGGTGTATCTTAGCTTTATAGACATATTCCTATTGTTTGGGCTGTGTGATCTAAGAGGTTTATCTACAAAGGAATAAGTCACAACATAAGCAGGGTATAAGAAAACCACTCCAGAAAATCCAAGAACCTTGTAGCCATAGAGTTGTTAGAATGTCTAGACCAAAAAGCAGGAGGGAAAGAAGAAGTGGTCAGAAACAAAGAATCATAATGAGAAACCACCTTGAGAAAAAGCAGTAACATTTTATCAAGAGACACAGCCAGCCTGTGGCAACCTCAGAAGTAGGGAATTAGGAGCATAAATATCCTGATCTCATTTTGCCTACTCTCTTAAGTTTCCTATTAGGGCTCCCCAGTGCCTAAACCAACTGGAAGCCAGAGAGCCTGGGAGCTCAATGGTGACACATGTCAGCCCCCCAGAATAGAGAGCAGGATAGAGAATGGCAAAAATTGGCTATGGATGAACAAACAGAATGTACATAGCACAGTACCATGAAATTATGTTTCTTACTTCAGGATGTAAATAAACTCCTTTTTAATAAATCATGCCACCTCCATACAGTTATGAGAAGTTGTAAATGAGCTAAAGAATTACTTAAGATATTTTGTAAATAAGGATCAGGGCTACACAGACTCTACAAAACCAGTGATTGGGTCATGAAATCAAGAATCTGGTAATCAAGACAGGTATAACTGAGTGGTTGGCACTCATTGTAGACTACTATTTTCATTGGGTTTATTTCTATTTGAGAGTTTTCTGTGCATTAAGAAAGCAGTCAGTGTATTCCATTCTGACTTTGGTTAACATATCAACTTGTGTTTAAATAGCAGTCTCTATAACCTTTGAACACCATTGTTTTGTTTATTATCATTACTGCTCCACTTGGTAGTGGGAAGCCCATTATAATTGAGGATTTATAGTTACTGATTAGTCTTCTACTTAATTTTTGGTTTGTAAAATTAATAGCATAAATACTATTATAAGAAAGCTGTTTAATATAAGATAAAATGTAGCTCACTGTTCTGAAATATTTTCCACTAGTCACAGAAACAACTGATATTATAATTGAACACTTTTTTGGGAGGTGCCAGGGATTAAACTTGGGGACACATAACCACTGAACCATATGCTCATCACCTTTATATTTTTTTAATTTTAAGACAGGGTTGCTTAGGGATTCACTAAGTTGCTGAGGCTGGCTTTGAACTTGCTATCCTCTTGCTTCAGCCTCCTGGGCTGCTGGCATTAGAGAAGTGCACCACTCATCCTGGCTCAATTATACACTATTTTTAACTTGCAATAGAAAGATACATTAGTTTGTATACTTGGCACATTTTTTACTTAATCTATTGTAGTAAACTATAGATATATAAAAGTAATAAAATTTATTTTCCTTAAAAATAGTCTCTGATTTCAATTTGTCTTAACCTTAGTTAGCTTTAAGTACTGACATTTTACTATGTTAGATATTGTTTTAGAATGCCAAATGGTTTTTACATAAACATGATGAGCTGTTTGGATTCATCCCAGTGAGTATATTATATATCTATAATTAATTTTGATATCATAGACAGTCTGTATTTTTAAAAGGTCATCATTTGACATCAGGATGAAGTAAAGCAGTTCCTCCCATTATGCTGGTATATATCTTTAATTGTGGAAAAAAGAGGAAACTTTTATAGCCTGGACTGAATTTGAGAAAAAAATATCATTTGAGTGCTTGTTCAATCATATTAATGGAAGATTTTTAGCCTACAGTGGTTATATATGCATAGTAGGGTAAGATAAAATGGTACATTGGGATGTACATTCTACTGAGAATGTGCCTTTTCACTCTTGACCTTCAACTACACATTATAACTAGATACTACTTAACTAAATAAATTTATAGGTTACAGGATCATTTGATAATCCATCTACACCTGAATAGACCCTACCCAAACATTTATCCATCTAGCCATACAGTTGCCATTTCATTCTCCATCTACTAGCTAATAAGTGTTATGTCAAGTACTGGGAAAACAAAGAAGCCTAAGACAGATTCCCTGGCATATGGCTTGGACATTTGTTAGACAGTGTTGCTATTCACTATCTACCTGAAGAATACATGATGATCTAGGTTAAAATAATGAGTGAATCTTGGACCTACAATGACAGAGGTTTTGAGGGCCATTCAAATAGGAGTATAATTGTACATAGACTGGATGGTCTATAGCATAGTTACATACTTTGGGGGAGAGAGGGAAAAGTCTGGGATTGAAAATTCCTGCAGAGAAATAAAAACTGAAACCATTAATGTGAATGCATTCTGATCAGTATGACATATAAATTGAGCAGAGCAGAGGTTTGAGGATGGAGTCTTGGAAAATACAACGAACAAAGAATGAATAAAACACAAGGAGACAATAAAATAAAGGTGAGAAGTATAAGAGGAATATCAGGAAAGCATACTCTCATAGAACATGAAAAAGAAACATTT